TTTTAAGAATATATTCTATAATAAATATATACCTATATTATTAATAAATTATTATTTTATTTAAAAAATATTAAATACAATTAAATTTTTCAAGCAAATTTGTCTGGAATACAGTTTAAGGGATATGAGATGCAAACTGACAATAAATGATACAAATACAAGATAAGTTTCCAGGCCGTATAAATTTGGAGAACTGCAAATACGAAAGTCTGTTTAGCAAATCCTGAGTAGAGAGATAGCACAGATCATTAACAGAGCTACTATAAAGGTTAGACCCAGAAATGGAACCCATGTGAACTGAACTAGACAAAATATGGGGTGTTAGAATTGCATCCACACCAACTAGGCAATGTATGTGGCAGAGCAGCAAGATAAAAGATTTATCAAAGTTCAGGATATCTGCCTAAAGCTGAGGAAAAATGCACAGTTATCAAGCTATCTAGATTGGAAGTTTGAGAACCAGGGTTAGAACCTCTGCTATTAGACGAATAGGAATTGCCAACACCAACTAGACTATCGTCAAATCAGAAGAAAATAAGTGACACATACTAGGCTATCTGAATTGGAAGTCAAGTAAAAGAAACAGGTTTACTAAAGTACTGGAGATATACTGTGAAGTAAATTCTGAGGTTTAAGTAAACTCTACAAAGGGTTACGGCACAATTCCCCGAAAGCCATTTACTAGACAGGATATTTACTTGACATTACACAGGTGACAAATTGCTAAAAATATATACCTACAGCTAATTAAATGCTTAACCTATGTGATGTCGGTTAAATGTCCTGTCGGGCAAATGGCTTTCAGGGAATTGAGTAACAACCCTACAAAGGCAAAAGTAGATTTGGGTAGTGGAGTTCAGCCAAAAACTGGGTTTAAATCATAGAAAGAAAGCAGAAGAAAGTTTAAGCAATAATCTCAACCTGGTGCTATATATATTCTCAGAATAGAGAAAACTGAGTCGCAAGTAGTAGGCTACAGTTTGTACGTACCAAACTAAAATACAGGCTAGATGCGGTATAAAGTAGAAATACTGCAGGCTTTGTCAGATTTATTTTGAGAATAAAGTTGTTCTAAGTCAGTATATAAAATGATATACCTGTAAGACCAGTTTCTAGAACTGGAAAAAGAGTACCGGTTGTCATAGGCCTCAGAGTATATAGACGCAGAAGGTTTAAATAGATAACTCCTAGTTGTGTTGCAGATACTGCAAATAGTGTAGAACCTAGTAATAGACAGACTACTTAAATAAGCACTCAAAAGTTCAGATATAACTAAATATACTCTCCAAATATATATAATGATATCTGAAAACAATAAAAACACAGCATGACCAAGAGGTACCTTAAAACCACAAAAAAAAATTATTTTATCTTGCTTTGTTATATTTTTATTATTATTAATCTTATTTTTATTTTTATTAGAAAGTTTGTTAATAGCTAATACAGAACCAAAAAAAAAAATTTATGAAATTTTTAGTAATCCTGTAGCTGTATCTCTTAATATTTTATTTTTTCTTTGTTTAGTTTATTTAGAGTTTCTGATATAAATAGCAAATTTTTTTTTCTGCACTTTCTACTAACACAGTAAACTGACTAATAGCTAATTTTATACTATTATCATCATTCTGAAAGTAACTATTTTCTTCAGTATCATAGTTGACTTCAGAATCAACTAAGCTTAAACTATCATTTTCATATTCACTATTGACTTAAGGTCAATAATATTGCTATTTGTTTTGTTGCTAATATTGCTTTTGTCTCTGGTAGTGGTATTGTTCTTGACAATATTAATACTGATACTAGTATTAATCTATATAGAGCAAGCTAAATTTGCTCTTTTTTTTTCAACTATATTAGTTTTAACTTCTTTGGTATTAAAATAATTAAAGTAAAAAAAAAGATTAATAATGATACAAATTAAATTTAAAATCTTTTTAAAACTAGTTAATCTGATTAGTTGGTGATTATATAATCAGTAGACTTTTGATTCAGATTAGTTAATCTTGCATATCAAATTCTTAATTTATATATAAAATAAATAAACTTTGAATAATAACTGTACTATCAAAAATAAAAATAAGAAAAAATTCTCTTTTAGAAATATAGTTTGGATTACAAACTATTAATTTAAAAGAGAGTTTTTTTTAAAAATAATTTTTGTAAAGTTATAATATTTTTTATAAAGCAATTAAATTAGATATCTTTAGCTATTTCATATTGTATAATATAATAATAATACTAATAATAATAATAATAATAAGAAATTTGAAAACTTATTCTATAACAACAATATGATGATCAACAAAATTCTATCATAGTACTTAAAGCTTTATTTAAATTAATTAGTGATTCGCCACTCAACCAGAGAGAGCTTATAGTATAACATGATGCAGTTTATATATAGAAATTAGGGCTTTTGAAATGTGAGCTGCTTCTATCTAAAACTTTTTTTT